ATATAATTATTATTAAAACCAAAGCTAATGAAACAAAAATATTTTTGCATTATATATTAGATTTATATACTGGGTCTCTGGAAAAAAATGTATAACGGTAAATATAAGCCATATTCTAAAAGGATTTATGGTAAGGAGATACGACAATTTTTATTTAATTTGAGTCAAAGGGGAAAGTCATTAAATATTTAAAATTTTTATTCTATTTTGTCTCTGGTGGAAGTTTTATATCAAATACATAATTTATATAATTTATATATGATTTATATAATTTATATAATTATGTAGATATATATTTTACTGCAAGAATGGATATTTGTAACATTTTTCCATATCTACAAGAGTGGATATTTGTAATTTCTTCGCCCAAATTATATCGGAATTTTAGTGTTTAATACATTCCAACATTTGTAATAAAATATGTTAATATATTATTCCTAATTCTACTTTTGTAGAATTAATCTTTCTCTATAGAAAGTTTAGAAAATGCAAATCATATCCACATATAAAGATACATACATAGAGCATTGTTTTCTGTGATCAATTACTATATATTCCAAAAGTTTTCTATAAATGCGTTTTTCCTTTCATTAAATTTATTTAACATACATTCCCGATTATTATGTTATTTATACCTACGACGAGAGTGAAACCATTCCAGTAATAATACCCACTAATTTTCATTTGCAAATCTAGAATATTCTTCATGATTATATGTTACAAATAATCCATTCGAAAATTTAGAAATATTTTGTTTGATTACCTGAACAAACAGGAATATGAGGATAATTTGTACGTAGAGTTTTATACACATGATTTGTAAAGCTGCCATTTATACATTGTATATGTGTACATTATAAGTTCTAATTGTGTATATATTATATGCAGGCACATATGCAGAGACACAATAACGATAAAACGATAAATATCTAACAATGATCTAGGCGTGTACATATAAATTCTTGTGTTAATAGTTGAAATAACTGTACAGTTAATATAAGATTTGCAGCATTGTATGTATGTGTATATCCGAGACTTTATAAGAATATTATTAAATTATACTTTAGTATTAATATTAATTGATACTTTGAATATCAACAATCTGTAACAAATGTTCTTGCATATTTGAATGAGAGAATATTACTTAGTAAATCATTGTGAACAAGACTGCAAAATCTGTCCATTTAATGTTTAATGGTTAAACCATTATGCTCTCTGAGCATAAAAATCTATACATTGTATACATTGCATTTATAATAAGAAAGAAATTGTTCAAATACGGGAGAATACATACGTATACTTACGCTTGTAATCCGACATTTGCGAAACATTTATAATAAATATCTAGCGGTATTTGGTGTCATTTAGTCACAGCAACTATGATGATGTGAAAATAGAAGACGTAACAATGCAATAAATCGAGACATTTATGACACATGATATTGATAACAGAGCTGGGATTAGGCAAATAAGATTCTAATGATCGAATTTATTACTAATCAATTTAAAAAGCTACTAAGTGACAAAGTAATAGTTAAAAAATGTTACGTAATAATTTTCAAATAAAGAAGCAACTTTTAAGGGACTATATCTTCAAATGAGAAAATCTTTACTTTGTTAGTAAATCCATTTTTTATTTCTTTATTTCGGCTATTAAAATCTCGATTCTGCTATGGATGTTATGGATGATAATTTGCATTAGATGATGTTGGCATCATTTATACGAATATTGCAATAGTAAAGCAACATGTAAACATCGCACAATTTTGTTAAATAGTTATGTGTAAATCAATGGGGATTAATACATAAAACATGTGACAGAATAAATTTGTGAATATATAAAACAATATTACTATTTGTGTATAGAAATATGTATATAGATTCAGCAGAGCCTTCAAGATTAATTTCAATTAATAACTTAATAATTAGATAACTTTATATGCATAATAAATAATAGAAAAGGGCGATATGTGCAATAAGAGAGAATTTCTCTATATAAATGAAAGATTATAAAAAATATTTATAATGATTTATTTAATATTTACTTTCTTGATGTGCCTGTAATTTAATTAATATAAATATATTATATTTGTTTGTATGTGTAATAAAAAAGGTTTTATACACTCGAGTTATGAGAACTTCTCAGATATTAGAAGCACAATTATGTGTATATATATGAAAAATGAAAAATATTTATCAATGTTTAATCACTCTGTATCAACCCCCTTTGATGTAATTTATGGGTATTACTACACTATGTATGATTTCAGCTTTACATGTAATGTTGTATCTTATACACATATTTTTTATATATATTTAATAAAAAGAATTGATATACATACACATAAATGTGTTTTAATGATGCGTAATTTTGAAACAATATTATCCCGTAAAATATTATTTTTGGTACATGCTTAATTAAAATGTATTTCCTTGTACAATATATTATTATTTCGCACATACAAAAAAATATTAAAGTTTTTCAAAAGATTCACCGTAAATTTATCGTGTATCAAATTTCTTGATGGAAATTTTCTCATTTTGAAGTGTGGATATATGAGGAGCATATAATACTTTGTAATATAATATATGTATATGTGTATGCGTGTCATACATATGCTACATCTATCATATGTGTGCTACAATACAATAAACAATATATAACAATGATAAATTCGATAATAAATCTATCATATCTTTTGTAGAGGGATATTCTTTTGTAAAAGAATATATGCAGATAAATGTTCGTTCATAATTGGTTCTATTAAGTACGATACATTAATAATAATCTTAATTATTAATAGCAAAATAATAATAGTAATAATTTAGTTTAACCCAAAATTCTTTACACATCTCTATACACATCAAAGATGTTTTGCATCATTCATATTTTTACTAAATTTAATGTGCAATATGCACATTAGAAATATCATCCTGATGAGGAAGAAAACAATTTATTTATACAACAAGAACATATACATTTCAGTTTTATGTTAAAAATATCTCTATTACACACTATATTAAAAGTAGATTTTTTGGATGATAAAAAATTTTCAGATAATTGATTTTAATAAAAATAAATGTTGTTATCTTGCAGAGTAAAAATATATGAGAATACTTTTTGACGCAAAACATTTTCTGATATGTAAATTTTCTAATTTGATAATATAAATTTAAAATATCTCTCGCTATCGCTATTATCTTTGCTACTATATTACCTTTGATAATGGAGAACTACGGAAGTGACATCTACAGAAGTGTACAATCCTCTCTGCATTTTTATGCTACATTAGATTAGCAGTGCACCAGCAGCCTGTCATTACGTTTTATATGAGATCCTCTAAGTTGTTTATGTTCATATAAAAATATAGATAATTATTTCAGCGATTTTTAAAATTTTTCTCCAACGAAATCTTATTGTATAATTCAAATAAAATAAAATATAACATGCACGGTAATTAAAAAATTTGATGATTGACATTGGCCAATATATTAAGTATATTATTAATATTATACATTTATAACATTTTATATTATAGTTTTGTTTTATTATTTCATTTATCTCAGCTCGACAGATGATAATTATATGTTACTGACTCGATGTGAATGAACTTCAGTTGAACTGAAATCTATAAGAAAAATCATGTTTTTATACACACAGAGATATGCAAAGATAGATAAAATTTCAAAAGATAAAAACTGCGAAATTAAATGTTGCCCATGCCAGAATTAAATGAATCGAGTTGCAAATCAATATCTTTCACTTGTAAAGATTCAGAATTAAAATATTACTTTTGAAGTTGACAAGAAGAGAACATACCTTCTATCGCGAGATAAAAATGTTTCGATATATTTTGGGTAGCACCAAGCACGATGACGTAAAACGTTTACAAGCGTTTCTTGTCCTTTCCTATCACGATCTAAAACAACTGTCCTCACATCAAAACTGTCAATCCATCAATCCCAAAAACGTATCCGTAAAAGAAGAAACACTAGCTACTGTAGCAAGTCTTGCGCACATCCGCAAGTATAACACTGAAATCGTCGTCAGCCTTGGGCACATGTTCCATATTTTGAGGCTGCTGCTGCTGCTGCTGCTGCTGCTGCTGTTGCGATTGCGGCTGTTGATGCTGTTGTTGCGAAGCCGAATGATCCGGATACTTGGACACTTCTAGATTCTGTTGATGATACTGCTCCATAGTATGACCGATCGCGACGTTAGAGCAACGAGCGTCCTTACTGCTCTGTTGATCGTCAACGATGCACTGAGAGTTTGATATATCCAACTGGGACGGTGCCCCGTAATAGCGTAGATCACTGGCGTAGTTATGATTGCTGTCCAACATACTCTGCGAGGACAGGCTCGAGTGTGCCACGCTCGTCGGATGGGAATATTTGAAATACTTTTCCAACTGTAATGCCTGTTGCTGATGATCTTCCTCAGCACTCATGCCGGGATCGATGTGGCCGCCAAGAATCGTGTGCTGCTGAGCGCTGCTCGAGTCCGTCTGATATTCCTGATGATGCGGCATTTGGTATCGGTGCGTCACTGTGCCTGCAACAAATTACAAGTTAAATAACGACGTAATGGCATAATAGAATCGAACAAATACGTGAGATGTATATATATAGACTGCTTCAAAAATATTTTTTAAAAATATTAATTACATTTTATATTATTTTGAGAATTATTGTAATTCTTTCTGATATAATTCGGTAATTATACATATTTTTGAGAAAATCCAAGTATTTTTTTGGTATTCATACGTGGTTCCCGAGAAAAATAATTTTATTTAAAAAAAGATATATAATTATTGATTTTTCAAAATTCTTTTAAAGCATATATTTTTCTTGTAAAGGATCCGTTGTCGTATCTCTTGATTCTAGATGAGTACTACAAATCTCTAAATTTGACGTAAACGAGACGTTTGAGTAAACGAGAAAAGAACATTACCGGAACAACTTTCGGCTCCGCGAATCCCTATGGACTGCTGTCGATTGCCGGCGCATTGGACCGGATTATAATTGCTCTCGACAGTGGACTGCATCGAATAGTTCGTCGCGCTCTTGGACGATTGCGTGCCGCTGTAATGCTGCAAAGATTGATCGTGCGGCGAGGCGACCGGCGGATAAAACGTGCCCGTGACGGAGCCAACGTTGTCAAAACCGGAGCGTAGCTTGTTGCACGATACCATCATACCATTTGCAATGCCCACCGCGGCTATGCTCGTAGATTGTCTCTCAAAATTCAAGTAACCCACCTAATGAAACCAAGAAATATTCGAGATTGTTATATTCAAGAGAAAATTTCATGTAATTTATTAAATTAAGAAAATTAATTGATTTGTATATGTTATGCTGTTTTTAAAATTGCAAGTCGCATTGTAAAATGATAAAATAATTTATAGATGGAAAATTATAGCCATCGTAGAAATGTCAGAGATATATGTAAAATACGTACGGATTTTTTATATGTTAAAGTATCCGTATAACCGCCGGAATTTTGACATGACGATACGTTAGTATTGCTAGCGTGACCAGTGTGCAATTGATTGTCGCTACTCATAAAGGTGTATCGTTTCTGATCGGTCATATCTCCGTGTTGCTTCGAGGTACCTTCCATCAGATCTCGTTCCGGATCCGGATTCTGAGCAGACGATAGATGGCCGCCGTCACCTGGTCGATTAAATCATTTCAATTATGTATGCGACGGCTTGTACAATTGCTCTTGGTAATAATTTAATTATTTTACAGTATCGTATATTTTATATATAAATTTTAATATGTGTATTTAATATAAAATTCTCGAATAAATTTATTCAAGCATTCGATTTATTTTTGCTTTAAAGATTCTTACCGTCAGGCTCGGGACTCGCCACCGGAGATATGTCCGGGGTGTGAATGATGGGCGTGTACGGGCTGCCGTAAAGCGAATTATTTTCCGACTTGTATTCCTGGATACTCTGCTGCTGCTGTTGATGGTATAAGGATGAGATCGGGGAATGGCCACCCCACGGGATTTGAGGTATGCCCTGGTAACTGTCCATCTTGGACCTTAAATGCATTTCGATTATGCATTACATTTGTGGAATACAATGTTATTACTTTGATTATATCATGATATGATGAGACAGGGTGATTCATAAATGTCTCTATACTTTAGAAGATGAATCTACGCGCTAAAACGCATAATTAAATGTTACATAAGCATAGAGATCATAATCATTTCTGAATTATGAAGATTAAAGATAATTTATTAATCACCTTGTCAATGCATATTTCTTCATCGAGATGAATGTTTGAAAAATTCAATTATTGCTAAATCTGGATAATATAATGTCAATGTCGAGAGGATAAGAGCCATCGTCGTCAACGTGTTTCGCTTCATTTAAATTTTACCGAGATCTCTCAATTAACTGGCTGTTTTACTCGTACGTGGCTTCATTAGCGGAAAGTATGAGCCAATATCGACTTACATGGAATGATGAATCGTCGGGCCGGTAGGGTTGGACCTGTTGCCCGCGGTGTTGGTCGCCGAGGGAGGCGAGGACGGTGCACCGGGTGTCCGTTTCGCGTGCTTCCTACGCCGCGGTCTGTACTTGTAATTCGGATGTTCTTGCATATGTATGACCCGAAGCCTTTCGGCCTCTTCGACGTAGGGCCTTCTGTCTTGCGGCGTCAGTCCTCGCCATTTCTTTCCTGAAAGGAAAAAAAAAAAACATGTTCAATAAAGAACGCAAGACATAGGAACAAACGGAAACATGAAAATGATTAAACGACACACGGTACATACAGCATGATTCTTACCAGTCGTGGCAGGATTCCCTCTGCGTGCCGCATAAACAATCGAAATACAAAGGATATAATACAATATTTTATTAGAGTACACTATATATCTCGTTGCTTTAATGTAATATTAAAATATATTTGAATAATGAGATTTTAAGGTATTTTTATAACTGTATAAATTGGCAATAATGAAATTAATAAACATTTATAAATAAATAAAAATAGAATAATCTGATTATTTTTTTTAAATTAATTATTATTTAAAAAATTAAATTTATATTTGTAATATACTTACCTCTTTCTCTCGCTATTTAAAATATTGTCATCGTATTTGTAATAATGATACGTTTGTCATGAATATTTTTAAAATCCTGCTCAATCAAAGATTAATTTTCCACATTGAAATACATTAGAAAGAAAGAGATAAAAGTAAGTAAGTAAGTAGTTATTGTTATGTATTATGCCCCTTTTCCAAATATGAATTCATCGGGCAAAAACGTCCGAAGATGTTGGCCGGTGCGCAAAGTTACGACGTGCTTTAATATATCGATCCTCGCGGGTGAGATCCTCGCGGGAGAGATCCTCGCGTCCGTAAATACTCCGATAAATTACGCTGCTCGACAATAATGGGGCGAGCCCCCGGTGTATACATTTCGATATCCCGAATCTTGATAAAATCGTCGGTCGATCCCTTTAGCTAACGACGCGCTTAATTCGGCCCGCGAGAGAACAGCCCCTATCTCTCTCTTTCTCTGTCGTCGCCTCGATATACGAGGCGCAAAACGAGCACAGAAATGGTCTCTCGTATATACACAACGTATGTACGTACGTACAGATACACACGTATCTGTATTACAGGTGGGCTTGGTCGGCGGCGGCGGGTCTTGGTCTGACGACCAAGCCTGGAATCTGCCTCAGTTGCGTTCAATATGCCAACATGGTAGGCCGGAATATCATTAAGCGAGGCATAGGGTTAATACGAACATAAGATGTTCGCGACAAGAACGAAAAAATTGAGCGCGAGGCGGATGTATATACGGCATACACATATATGTATACATATATACACATATACATATATATATATATATATATGTGTGTAAGAGTGGTCCCCATTACGTTTTCTCTCGCACGAATGTCTGTTTCTCCGATGTTTAATCGAACGGAATTAGGTCGAAGCCTATATGACTATAATCAATTATTCATGCAAGCGTCTTTTGTCGGTTATTTCCAATATTCAACGATGTAAATAGAAGCAGAAGATATCTTTCGTTAAATAAAAATTAAGATCCTTCTATTTTCCTCCGCGGACAAATAAAATATAGAATTATAAATGCGAGATTATGTCGGTAAATATATATATATATATATATATATATCTACAGATGTATATGTATATACGTATCTTGTATAGGTACATAGGTGCATGGGGGCGTAGATATGGGTGCGCCCGTGCCTTCAGCCAGCCACAAGGCACGAACCATTATTTCATATTTCATTTTGTATATTTCAACTCTCCGGAGGAGAGAGACGCTAACCCGGAGGACACCGGAAGAGGGGCGGGAAAATAAGAGAGAAATCGCACTTTGGCACGTCAGACCCGCGTCCATTCTTATTCTTTAATGTTAATGAACGTCATGAACAATTGCAAGAGCGTTCTTTTTTATATATACATATATATATGTATTCTCGAAACGCTATTACGAGACAAAGGAAAGTGAAGAGAGACAACGGAAGAGAAAGAGTTATTCGCAAAAGGATATCGCTTTTGTCACAGCACAATTTCTTTTTCCCGTCAAGCGACTCCTCGTTTTTTTTTTTTGTTTTTTTTTTCAGGGTTCCCGACCAACCGAGTATTCGACTTCTTTGTACGAGAAAAAAAAAGATCTAGAAGACTCCACACGACAAAAGGGACACAAATGAGATTTTCGGCTAACAATAAGTAAACTTAATTTAATATTCCTGGGCGTGCGCGCGCTCGTGGTGAGTTAGCCGGCGATGATTCATCATCACACCCTCGCACGCCGCGTCCCACCGTGATGTCCTCGTTAAGTATTCTAATGGTTGGCGTGTACCTCTAATTTACCGCGCTTAGACCGAGCCGGACGACTTCATTAATTTCGAGCAAAAAGCGGACGGCGGCGTCGGATTAGGAGCGTCGAGGATCGTTCGCTTATACAATTGTCGAGCTTTTTGCTCGATCCTCGCGTGTAATCGGTTAACGGATAAATAACGCTGCTCTCTTAATTTGGCACGGATATTTTTCTGAATTTCTCTTTCTCTCTCTCTCTTTCGTGGACACTCGGTCTATCAAGTCGCGCTTCGCGCACGTGGATATTTCGTAAGAATGTTCGATGCTAATATAGAATTGTCGTATCGCAATTTCGATCGATTCGCGCGGATCTATCTGGTGTGAATCTAACGGAGAATGTAAAATTAGCAGTCGCGCATCGCGACAAATTACGAGATTCCTGCGATCGCTCGATCGTGAGCGAAATCACGCGTGTCAAAAGGTCCTAATCGAGTCTGTTGCCGCACTCGTGCACGAAGGCGGCACGGCGGCAAGAATCTCGGCGAATGCCGCGGTTTGCCAGTCGTTGACATTTTCCAGAAAGCTCGTTCGTTCTACCGCCTAATTAACGATTCCGCGGTGATTTATGCACGCGGTCGTCGGTAATTCACTCGGCCGGCCGCCGGCTTTGATTAAACTCCGCCGTTTCTTCTCTCCTTCTTTCTGTCCAGGCATCAGTCCAGGGAATTTCGTTATGGTCGCGAATGCAGACACTCGCGCGGATTGGCACGTGACATTTTCGAGCAGAATCGAGCGAGAAACTTCTGGTACGCGGCATTTAGAATATTAACGCCGGAGTTAGAACGCTCGTAATCCTCCCGCCATGACTTTAATTACGCACGATACCCGATAAATCTTCCTTACAACCGGATTAAAATATTCCTCGCGCGAGCTAGCCGTCGTAAAGTATAGCGTCAAGCACGCTCGTAAATCTATCGAGGCTCGTTCTTGAACAGTGATCGCTCGGTTGACACGCTCGGTTCGAGGAAAGCGCCGATGTTAACAGCCTTTTTATCGCGCCAAACGGTTTTCGACGCGCCTCCAAATTCGCGTCGGATACGCGCATAAATACGACGCGTTGTATCGACGATGCGTCTACGCAACGGAAAAGACGGAGAGAAGACGAAGAAGGGAAAGACGAAGAAGAGGGCCGGAGTCGAGGCCCACATCGGTGGAACCGCATCGCGCGCACCCCGCCCAACCTGGGTCGCCCACTGTCACCATTAATAATACGTCTCCGGTCCCGTGATGTATCTCATCTCCCGACGGCGTTGTGCGCGCACACACCGACGCGTTTACTTTTATACACAGATGCGCGGCATCGATGATGCAGCGTGGCATTTTTCTGTATATAAAAAGGAAGGATCGCGCGAAGAATTGTCATTTCCGAAACGTTTTCTCAAATTCGGCCAGAGATTCGAAGAAAAATAAATTTAAAAAAGGAGAAAAAGAAAGAGAGATATGAAATAGGTATAAATTGACTTGTAAAAAAATTAAGCTGCTAAACTTTTTGGAACGAGATCGGAGATTTCGAAAAATTTGCAGGAATTTAATTGCCTTTACGTGGCGATTCTCAAACGATGACGTTCACTTTGACAGTTACTTTCAGGACAAAGACATCGGACAGGTTCGTAGGTAGGTAGGATACATACAATGTACGCCGAGCCATTCAGACACCGATTCGAGCATAGCTGGCACGTGGACGAGACGTCTCGCCTCTTCGGGGACAATCTCGACGAGAAAGAAACTCATGCGCGTCAGCTCGGCACAAAGAAAGACTTATCTGTCAGGGGTAATCGCCATGTGCGTGCGATCTTAATGAAGTATCTCGAAACTCGGAAGGAGGCGTAAAGCAACGAGCAGTTTCGAGGTACTTGACGACGCGGAGGAAAAGGAATTATAACACCCCTTTTGCTTTGAACCTCGCGGTTTCTCTCACACGTTCTCGAGAACGATGAAACGATTCGGGAAGAGAAAGAGAGATGGACATTAAACGTCCGTCTCTCGGATTCCTCGATGAAGAATCGGGGAAAAAGCGCCGCATGTTAGTCGCGGCTTGTTCTTTAGAACGACGCGTCGCTTTGCGAAGAAACCGCGTAAAGAAACATTTCCGCACTGCCAGACAGAAAGACAGTGACACGTTCCTGTCGAGAGTACGCGTTACGTGGACGGACGTAGACTGCATCATAATCGTGCCGTAAACTTCAGCCGAACTTTGCGAAAGTTACGGGATGACTGACAATCGGCGTGAGAAATCTCGGCGGATAAATCGTGCGATTTCGCGTTTATAACAAGTTCTATGAATATAATAAATCCGGATTCTAATATTTAATATATTTCATCAATTCTCGCGTAAAATACGCACAAAGGTAAAAGAAAAATTTTTCTCCCCTCTAACGTAAGATGAAAATTATCTCGCGTCGACGTTCGTCGTACAAATTATCATATCACTCCATCTGTCATTTTTCTGACCGACCCGGGATATAGGCGTGGTGCGGATGATCCGCGCCGGAGATCATCCGGGAGGACAAAAATCGTAGTCGTCGATAAATCGCCTACAACGCCACGTCAATGCTCGAGGGCTCTTCCTCCTCCCTCTTCCCCTCCCCCTCGTCTGTCTGTCGTACCACGTGTATTTTCATAAATATAATAATTTATTTCTATCTCTTCGCAACCGAGCGAGGATACATGTTGCAATCATGATTCGTCTTCGTCGTCATCGTCATCGTCATCGTCATCGTCGTCGGTCGTCGTCCAAGGATAGGTGGGTCGATCGTATAAGCGTCGTCGGAAGGTAAGGTAAGGTAAGGGTGCGGCCAGACTCCGCTCTCGACTCCAC